TAAGCATCCTAAGCTGCAGAAAAATAAGCTTCCTTTTTCATGGCGAATGACGAGTTGCCACAGCAATGGGGGCCACATAAAATGAAGGTCGTTGAATGTCAGTAGACCATTTTAGTAACTTTTCATCATTAATATCTTAAGATCATCCAAACCAAATTTGAAGTTGATCGCATGAATTTTGTGGGAGGAGTTCATTGAAGTACAACGCCTGAAAACGATGAAAATTGACAAAACAGCCAAAAATGGCTTAACTACTGTATCACTCCCTAGTGGTAGAATGGAATGAGAATTGTAGGGTACCTGACAATATGCGATGTGCACATATGAGACAAATTTTGCGATTATAGGTTTTGAAGTTATGAGTATTGAAAAACAAAGCCACGCCCTATGAAGTTCATAGGTCCATATCTTCTAAACGAAATACATAAAATTGTATTATATAGATCAAATAATGATCCACAGCAAATTTAGTAGCAATCGGACTCAGCGTGTAGGAGGAGTTTGCTAAAATGTGTTTTTCAAAAAATTCTAAATGGCGGAAACTTTTGGTAGGCGGAGCTTAGGGGTCCAAGAGGCTTTTTTGTAGACCTCATTTGCCTGTGTAAAATTTCAAGTTAATTGGACATACGGGATGAGAGGGCTAAATTCTAGGGGTCGCCAGCAAGCAATTTTTTCATATTCGAGAGTGGGACCCATAAAATATCAAATTTTTCACCAGTCCTGATATTCATGCCGACTTTGGTGAGTTTTCGGACATGATAAAGGCCCCCAAAAGGCGATTCACTTGCAGAATAATAATAATCACTATAGTTTCAATAGGGACCTCGCGGCCTGACGTTGTCGGTGCTCGGGCCCTAATAATAAATAATAATTCCTACAGTTTCAATAGGGACCTCGCGGCCCGACGTTGTCGGTGCTCGGGCCCTAATAAACATTTGAAGAACAATAGGTCCTCCGCTTTGACATTGTCAGTGCTCGGGCTCTAAAAAAAATATTTTCATACTGTATTTTAAATAAACTCCTATCCTCAGAGATTGTAAAGTAGCTAAAAATAAGCGAGACATGGTTAATGATGAAGTACGGATTTGTGGCTGGTTCTGGCTGGCTCCTTCAATTTCAATCCTGAGTAAAGACATGGCATGTTAAGTAAAGTTAAGCAGGTGGAGCAGGGGAAAAAGAAAATAAATCTTGAATTGCCTTTGTGCTTCTTTGTTTACGGAGACCGGAGACTAAAGAAAGTTGAATCCAGGGATTTGAAATGTGGATGAACTGTGTAGGAGTAAAAAAAAGAACAAAAACGATAGAGGAGAAAAAATAGGTCATCCCCAAAAGTGTAAAAAATAAAAGCCCCTCTTTCTCCTCTCTCTTACCATCACCCTCTCTGTCTGGCTAATCAAAACCAGATGTATGAGCACGAGGCTTCCATTCAACCTCCTTCTTTCCCCTTCCCTCCCTCTATCAACTTCTCTGTTTCTTTTTCTCTATGTAGGTTTCCTCCTCATGCTCGGTGCCTCTCTGTTCTCCCCTTTGTCTCCTCCTCCACTCTTGCCTCTCTCCCCCTTGCTCTCTGGCAAGGCAGGAAATACTACAGGTTTCTGGCCCTGAAGGGAGCATGTTTCTTTTAACCACAAACAGATGGAGGGACGAAGAGGGAAGGGGTGAATATGAGTGAGAGGATGGTGGCTGGGAAAATGTTGTTGATACTAGATTGGTTGCAAGATAAAAAAAAGTTTCAAATGTTTCATTTGTGAGAGGTTTTGTTATTTGCAATTGGAGCAGAGCTTATATGAGCCGTTCCTCCTCTTCTTTCCTGTCCTCTTTTTCTCTGCTTTCTCTCTACAACTGGAATGAATGTACATAGGCAGCTGGAACTGAATCCTAATGTCATAAAACAGCCAAGCTCATTAAAATCCCCTTGCAATTAATCTCTCTGGTGCACACGCACACACTCAAACACTGTAGGATCTCAATTACTTTCCCGGAGAGAAAATGGTTTATTATGTGTATATACCCTATTGGTACATGTAGTATACTGTAGTTATAGTGACATTTTTGTTATCAACAGTAGCACTACGAGAAGTAATCATGCATCATACTAGTAAAAGTTGTACATTGGTAATAGTAGTGGGATTGCTACTACTAATTGCGCTAATAGTAATAGTGTAGTAATAAACATCGAACAAAAAGTTCGGAAATTAGTGTTTGGTAGATTATTTCTCTATTGTAACAATGCTTCTTGGCAATAAATCTTATACCGTTGGAAAGCCTGTCTATTTACCTTTCAAACGGTGCCCCATTTGTAAGGAACATGCATTTGTGGGATGAGCAGCAGAGCCGAGTATGTGGGTTGCGTCCATGAAAAATTTGCCAAATCTTCTCTGCCAATGCCAAACAGCTTATTCTGCTGTTGCTATTGACTCTTGTTTGGTGGATTGGATGATTGAAGTCTATCAGTAACAAGGAAGGAACAAGACATATTGGCAATTTTACAATTTATTCATTTAACAAACAGTCAGGAGCCTCAGTAGCATGTGGAAGAACCATACACAGCCACAACAGCCTGGCACCTCCTCCTCATGCTGGTCACACACTGCTGTGGGATGGCATTCCACTCCTCAAGCAGGATTTGTCGCAAGTCAGCCAACGTGGTTGTGTTGGTCACTCTGGCACGAACAGCTGATCCCACAAGTGTTCAATTGGGTTGAGGTCAGGACTGTTGGCAGGCCATTCCATTCTCTCTACTCCCAAATTGTGGAGGTAGTCTCTGATAAACCCCGCTTTGTGGGGGCGAGCGTTGTCATCTTGGAGGATGGAGTTCCGTCCCAGACTGTGGAGAAATGGGATTTCCACTGGTTGCAGAATCTCATCTCGATATCTCTCTGCATTGAGATTGCCTCCAATGAAGACAAGCCTCATTTTTCCAGTGAGGGAGATGCCGCCCCACACCATCACACTGCCTCCACCAAAAGGTGTTACTCTATCGGTGCAGCAATCAGCATAGCGTTCTCCCCGTCTTCTCCACACTTTGACCCTACGATCCAACTTCCCTAGGCAGAATCTGGACTCATCGCTAAACATAACGTTCCTCCACATGTTCAGGTTCCAGTGCAGGTGTTGCTGACACCAGCGCAAACGGGCCTGACGGTCAATAGCAACAGCAGAATAAGCTGTTTGGCATTGGCAGAGAAGATTTGTCAAATTTTTCATGGACGCAACCCACATACTCAGCTGTGCTGCTCATCCCAGAAATGCATGTTCCTTACAAATGGGGCACCGTTTAAAAGGGAAATAAACAGGCTTTCCAACAGTATAAAATGTATTGCCAAGAAGCATTGTTACAACAGAGAAATAATCTACCAAACACTAATTTCCGAACTTTTTGTTCGATGTTTAGAAGCAGTAGTAGTTGTAGTAGTAGTAGTAGTAGTGCCAATAGTTATAGTAGCAGTAAGTAATGTCAGTGGTATTATTATCAATTTTAATAGTTGTGATATAGTAGTAATCGCGTTAAAATAGTAGTTGGGGTAGTAATAGCAAAACCCTAATCCAATCGTAGTTTCAGTTGCTGTAGAAGAAGTAGTAGTAGTAGAAGCAATAGTGCCATTACCAAATGTATAGAAATAGTAGTTGTAATAATTTTGGTTTTATCAGTAGAAGTAACAATAAAGGTAGCACTTATGTATCCGTAAACACATTCTTAACAGCCTTAGTCTCATGGATCATGAATCCAAAGGACCAGGAAGCACAGTTTCACTACAGTTCAATCAAATCTTCTCCTTCTGTTCTGTTGGTGACAGAGGAATATTGGCATTATTAGTCTAAAGCAACAACACACTGTCTGTCATCTCCCCCACTCCCTCTCTCTGATTCTTTTCAATCACTCAACACTTCCATCACCAACACTAGGGCTGCCGACTGTTGCGTGAGTATGAGAGCATATATGTGTTTTCTCACCTCATTTAATCTTATTAGCCAGTTTGTTGCCAAGGGGGGTATTTGTTGACACTGTTTGGTCAGTTTGGCGTTATATAAGCCTGGGCATTATGAGCCTCTCAATTGAAAAAATACCCAGCCATGGTGGAATTTTGGAGACACTACAGCGGTGCTCGAAAGTGAAATGTTGGGAGAAAATAAAGGCTGAAAGCAATGTAGTGGCAGTTGTGTCCTACAACTCAGCTATTCAACAACTATGCGGTGGCTAGCGCTGATGTTAGCATGGTGTCTCAAGACAGTGGCGTTAGCCAAGAAGTCAACATGCAGATCTACCTATTGCAAAATGCCAGTTTTGAAGAAGAGTGACATTGTAAAGAAACTTTAAGGAGAGACTTTAAGGAGTTAATCAAGAATGTTGCTTCAAGGAAACCAGTCGTAGACACTTCTAAGGGTAAGTATAGTCTGGAATATCAATGCTAATGTTACTATGGCATTAATATGCAAGAATGTTTATGCTCCTTGCAATTCATCTGGTGTGGTCTGTGGTATTGATGGTATTGTTTGCAGTGTTGTAGAAATATTGATAATTTCCCCAGGTGAACTGAAATTGCAAAGTGTGACATGTCATACTGTTGGAGAGATGTTTGTAGTATTTGAAAGATATTTAAATTAAATGAAATCATGTAAAGTATCTTTGTTGTGGAGAGGCTTGGCTTAGCAGTATCACTATGTGCAGAGGTAAATCGGTTCGTTATGGTAGTGGATATGTGGTTTCGGGCAGCAAAAGGGCTAATGGGCTTAGCCAAACCTAGGGGCCAATGAAAGGATTAAATCGCTCCTGGGTGTGCAGTGTAACACCAAGCATGATGCAATAAAGAAAAACACGCACGATCGTTTTGGTATTTTCTAAAACGAACACTTTTATTTCACATCATATATTTTGTCATCAAACTATTAACATTCAAGTATTTTAAGAATACTTAACTTTGTGAGTGAGACATTTGATCTCTCCAAAACTTAAAAAAGATGATTAAATGTAAATCTTGATTCTGCGGTATTCTGCTGGTTTGTGTCTGCTGCTAGAAGCTGGTTAAAAGTCAATTCTTTCACCAATAATACTATCTCATCCACAAATTCCAGACAAAATAGCTGGCAATACGAACTGTACTAACAATCTACTCCTTCACATGAATTTATATACGGCCACATTTTCCCAAGTCCTACATTTATTTCCAACAATATATTTAATAGCTGTATGTTTATGCAGAAACGTACTAACTTATGGATGTTGCCTTGAGTTATCATCCTGTTTAAATAAAGTATGACTTAAAAATTGAAATAACAGGTACGCATCACTTTAGCAACAAAACAATCCAAATATAAGACCGAAACTGTAGTCTGTGTTAGCATTGTAGGCTGCTATATTTCCAACAATACATTTCATACATACACATTTGTATCTTTGTAGAATTAGCAAGAACAAGATAGAAACCAGAATGTTAAACTTGGAGACATGTCCTATTAAATGGTGACAGTCAACCTAGCAATCAAAACGTACTTTTTAAATAATCTGTATATAGCAAAGTGTTGGTTATGATAATAATAAAATTCACAAATGCACAGCTACCCATTAACCAGTGGCATTAGTCAGGTTGAAACAAAATAATTTGTGCGGTTAAGACAGTTTGATGAATCTGACACTCATATGAAAGTTTAGGATAAGAGTACGGAAATGTTCTTGCATAGGGTGTATTGGAGTCGGTTCTGTGTGACCTTAAAGACAATGCCAACCAGCTATTGCTGGCTGTGTGCATGTTGAGGGTAGGGATATTTAGGGGCCAAATGTGGCCAATTATGGTATCCTTTGATGAAACATGAGTCATCCATTTCAGATATTTAGTCAAATGTAACACTTCATATACAATTTTACATCCCATTTTTGAAATGGCTGATATGGTGATGCCCATTTCCGCCAATGCTTCTAAAGCCATCCAGTCAATTATTTTAACCTAGAACATATAACTTTCATATACACATTGTTTTTTATATTCACTGTAGTTTGTGGTCTATAGTTCTATGTTGTCCAAAGATCTGCTCTCCATTTTAGTTTGGCCAGTATTCCACTTCATACAGTGGTCATTACTTTAAGTGAACCAGTGCGGAAGCGCAGGATCTTCTTCTTAAGAGCATGTGAAGCCTTAATCTTGACAAAAGCTTTGGGCTGCAGAGGTGGCCCAGGTGGGGCAGATGGTGAAGGGAGGGATAGTTGAGGGGGCCAAACGAGACCACCACTCTCATCTGAATCACTGGACAAAGAGCTGGACTCTAGAGAGTCTGCTTCGCTCATGCTTGACTCAGACTCACCCTGACGTAGTTTGGGGTATTCCTCACTAGGCTGACACAGTGGCACTTGTTCCCTCTTTAACTGGTACTCAAAGTGCTGATGATGGTGGGAGTGGTTATGGTGTGGGTCGGCATGCGATACATGTGTAGGGCGAGATTTGCATGTGCGAGTTGTACAATGGTCCCTTTGGTTTGAAGCTGCAGAGCCTCGCACGTGTGTCTGCACGGGCGGCTGGTCAGTCTCATCTTGGCTGAGCTCCAGGGTGGACTGCCAGCGTCGACAGCTACCATGCTGTTGTTTCTTGCTCTTGTATTGACTACTACGGCTTCCGCTTCCACTTCCTCCACCATCCCTCTCTACTGTATTGTACTTGCGATCTGGAACCCTTTGCAGGCTATTCTCTGACTGAGACCTACATGCCTTCTTTCCCGGCTTCCTGCTGAACCCATTTCTGTCTTCATTCGAGTGACACTTCTTTGGCCCCCCTCGGGATCTGGAAGATTGGATCTGAGATGCTGTGGACTGCTGCTCTTGTTGGTGATGGTTTCTTTCTGGAGAATATGTGGTTCGGTTGGGCACCCCAGGCCCCTTGTAGGGGTTGGAGTGGTGATGGGCATAAACTCTGGTCAAGGCTCGGCAAGGATGGGCTGGAATATACTCTGCTTTAAACAGCTGCTCTTCAGGTGAAAGTGGTTGGTGAGGCTTTGACAGACCTGGAGAGGAAGGGTAGTTGTGGAAATGTTGAGGTGAATCAAGCTCGCCATTACATGAGTCTGGGTGGGCTTGCAGCCCTCTGCAAGATGGATAGTCCAGCAATGTTGACCGGGAGGTGTTAATCATGGAAGCCTGCCTGGGCCTGTGATAAAGCCCTGGTTGATGTTGGATACTTTGCTGGAGATTCTGGTGGTACAGGGGTGGGACATCTTCGGTAAACCCTGTCCCCATGTAAGGGTCCTGATCAAGTTTATGGCAAGCCTGTGGAGCAGTTCCTTGTGAACCCTGGGATGGAGTAGAGATCTCCTGAACAGACACCTGCTTCGGTGAATGTTGCTTCACCATGCGGCATATACTACTCTGCCTCACCACATTGACAGCTCTGGCATCATGTGCCAGGCTGGTACGGAGCTTTGAGGAGTGTGTGGGTAGAGCTTGGCGTTGGATCAATCGAAATATATAAGTCTTAACTTTGTGGGTTTGTTGAGAATCTTCCTGACTGGGGACAACATCCTCCATCTCCGCCAAAGCACCAGTAACCGTGGCCCCTCTTGGTAGGTCTGTTTCTCCTGTCTTTGTCTCTCCCGTCCCATCAGATGCTGAGAGAGAAGAATGGACCAAAGGTTGGTAATTTGACTCAGGAGATCCATTTTTGGCTGCAAGGACCTCTCCTGACAAATACAGTTAAGACAAGGAAAGTGATCAGAATCATTCTTGCTGTTACTACTTCAGTACAATTATTCCACTTTCCACAGATGTACAAAACACATTCTGAGTCTACAAATCTTGACCATTTTCAAAGAAAAGAAAAAGACTGCATTAATGTGACACTGATGACTGTGGCGAAGTGGCTAGCAGGGCTGTCCTTCAATCAGAGGATCGGCGGTTCGATCCCCGGCTCAGGCTCCACTAGCCGCATGTTGATGTGTCCTTGAGCAAGACACTTAACCCCAAAATTGCTCCCGTAGCTGTGCCTACGGTGTAGAATTGTGATAGAATCTGAATTGTAAGTCGATTTGGATAAAATTGTCTGCTAAATGACTGTAATGTAATGACACCACAGTTTTCCACACATAGCCTTTACTTTGGCAAGCCGCCCTGGTATATTAATGGCCGCAAAAGCATATTTGGCGAGCCATTTTTGCATTTTTTATTTTATTTTTTTTATCTGTTCCAGAGATAACTTGTGGCCGAGGGAGATCTCTGACAGCTCAGCCTCGGATCTCTCTGACTGAGCTGTCCAGGCTGGACATGCGATGGCCTGACGTGCTGCTGCGCTCCACTCATGAAGAGCAGAGGTAGAATTCTGTGAGAAACACTGGACACTTCTCATTGCACTGGACATTATATAGCTAAAAGACCAACACACCTTTTGGAAGACATTGATGGAAGTGCATTCATTACTTGTAGTACTCTTACAGTAATAATGTAAAATATAATATAGTATAATGTAACATAATACATAATCAGCACCATGAAATGACTGCCTCTGTGGTGCAACATACAGGACTGTTTGTAATTTTTAAATCCCAGTATGCACACATTTGTGCCTACTCTGCTTTATAAACATGAAGTATGGGCTTAGATGTGTTGATACTTCAAATATGAAGGATGCTTAGCCACTGAGGATGTGTAATAGATTTGTCTGCTTGATGTTTGTCTGTTTGTTTTCCAGACCCTACACCTTAGAGAAGAGAGAAAGAATCCATTGCTATTAATAATGATTGTGTGTCACATGGTGGATGTTTTGAAGCAACTAAAGCACAGAATAGCTAATTATCCTTTCATGCATCATGAACCTCAGCAAGACTTTTAAATTAAGTCAGTATTATAAAATATTATAATCAGTGATTAATCTATTAAGTCGCTGGAGATGATTTGTTCAGTATTTGTATTCCGAAAAAAATATAGATATATTTACATATTTTAAAAGTACTAAAACCTAAAATCTACACATTGGGTCCACCATGTCCACCATGTCCATTTGCATGTGTTTTGCAGTGGAATTTTGTATTTGGGAGGAAGATTATTTTACCTGAAATTATTTTGCAGTCCTCTAGATCAGTTGGGGAATCTGTTGATTGGACCTCAGTGTTCACCTTTAGCTCTGCCACTTGCTGTTCCAAAGACGCCTTCATAGCACAGGGCATACACTTGGGACTGCTCTGAAATGCACACAGTGAGACATAGTCAGTCACAAAATTGTACCTAATAATAATACTCTCAAAAGCACAATCAAAACACTCTACGGAACATGCACACAAAAGAGAAACACGTTTATGTTCTGACGTTTATGTTCTGACCCCTAATTCATTCCAGTGCTCCATGCTTGAACACTTTACCACATACTGTGTTCAGTCTTATTACTGTTAAAGTATGAAGAGCAACAATTCAACTGGAAGCAGGATGTTTTCCAAAGATCTGTGCATTATTTTAACTCAACCCAAACACCAAACTCACCCCGGTGACACTATACAGTAACTTTGTTAGAAAATGAACCTTCACATTCACAGACAGCTATGGCCACAACCACATATTATCAAAAAACAGTGCAGAGAGATCAACATCACTAAAGATAAATATTGGTTCTAAAACACTCCCATTCATGAAACGTTTCACTGCATAAATAAAATAAAAGTTGACCATCCATTAAATAAAAACAACTTGTGTCAACAATGACACAAACAACATCAGATAACTCCTCAGACACAGCAGTTGGTCTGCTGATTTCCATAGATGCCCTCACATGTTCAACCAAATCCATGTTTCAAATTTGAGATACTTTTAAAAATTCCAAATTCTGCTTACTGCAGCAAATGCCGCCATCTGGATCAATACAGTCTGTGTATTCCGACTGTTTTAAATGCTAAAAACAGTCAAATAATTCTGCACAAAATGATTCTGTCAAAATTATACACCTCAGGAATCCCTGTAGTACAGGAGATAAAAAGATCAAAAACTAAAAGTTGTATAGTCAGTGAGGAAACGCTTGTAGTACTTATTTTTGCCATGTAGAGGCCATCTATAAAACTCTGGAATGTAAATCAGAGGTCATCAATCCAATGTCAGATGTCATTTTTCATCATCTCTTCACATACATTTTTGTCAAAAGACAGAATCTGAGCTAAAGCAGTCTGTTCCTGCAGCCGTCTTATCTTTAAGGTGACTGGTATATTGCGTTTGCATAAAAGTATTCCAAACAGCATGTGCCACAAAATCCATGTCTTCTGAACTGCTCGTTGGTTGCGGTTGGGTGTGTTCTAAATAATTTACTGAGGGAGCGGAGGGAGATTGGCAAATCACATTTTTGAATAACAGTTGCATTAGACAAAACTTAGATTCAATATATTTGCAAAACCAATATATTAAAATATGTATCCCTATTTTCTCATGTGCAAAATCAACTACTATTACTATTTTTAAGGTAATTTTCCATAAATATTTTGGTTGATGTCCTATGGACTTTTTCTGGCATTATCCATTTTAATGAACAAGTGATTTTGTTGATTCTGTACCCAACCAACACATCCTCTGTGGAGGAGGCAGAGAGAGACTCGGGGGAAGACCCATCCATTCGCCTGGCAGAGGTTGTTGCGGTAGTTAAAAAGCTCCTCAGTGGCAAGATGCCATGGGCGGATGAGATTCGCCCTGAGATGCTGAAAACTTTGGACATCTTTTGGACTTTGTTTTGCTGTCTATCTTCAGTGTCCGAGGAGGTAGGGGACAATGCTTGTGGAGTCGCATGCCGGGGTGGTGGTTCCCATTTAAAAATGGGGAGACCAGAGAATGTGCTCCAATTATGAGGGTATCATACTGCTCAGCCTCGCCGGGAGTGCTGGAAAGGAGGCTTGTTGAACCTTAGATCCAGGAGGAGCAATGCGGATTCTCTCACCTATGGTCATGAGCTTTGGGTATAGTGACCGAATTGCGGATAAAAGCGGCAGAAATAAACTTCCTTCGTAGGGTGGCTGAGCTTAGCCTTCGGGATAGGGTGAGAAGCTCAGCCTTCAATATTGGGTGAGGAGCTCACACATCCGGAGGGAGCTAGGGAGTAGAGACGCTGGTCCTTCGTGTCGAAAGGGACCAGCTGAGGTGGTTTAGGTATCTGATCAGGATGCCTCCTGAACGCCTGTCTTTATAGGTTTTCCGGGCATTTCCAACTCGTAAGAGATCCCGGGGTAGACCCAGAACTCGTTGGAGAGACCATATATCTCGTCTGGTCTGGGAACGCCTCAGCTTTTCCCCTGGAAGAGTGGGAAAATATTGCTGGGGATGGGATGTCTGGAATACCCTCCTAAATCTCCTGCCCCCGCAACGACATTTTATTAGAGAGTCGTCATATACACATACATGAAATCTAACTTCTGCATTTAACCCATCCCTAGCTTATTGGGAGCAGTGGGCTGCTGAGAAGCGCCTGGAGCAGTTAGGGGTTCAGTGTATTGCTCAGGGACACTTCGGCACAGGACTTGTAGCAGTGGTAAGATATTTTCGATAATATTAGCCAAGTCAAGTCTATAGAGAAATCAAATTGCTTAAAATAAATAGGTAAATAACTGTTACATACACAATTAAAGCAATCATGTCGTCATTTTTATTAATTATGGAAATGTAATCATTATAAACATTTCTAAAAAATCCTAGAAAAATGTGACGTGCACACCAGGCCGTACCATAAGAAAACGGGCGATGCATTTCTCTCAGTGTGATTTGGGCCTAAAGCTATTGATATCAGCAGAGCTAACTAAGCCACACAAAGCCACCCGAAAGCATTACATGAACAAAATGATGGAGTGGTGAACAGGCTAAGTAAAATGAAGCTAACAAAAAAGCCCAAGAATAGCAGTGTTTGATAAAAGTGAATTCAGTGAATATGGATACAAACATGAGTTTTTGTTGGTATTGGAAGCAAACCATGGACTCTGGCAAATACAACTAGATGAGGACAGTCCCAAATTGTGTACCGTGGTGTAACGGATCGATACGTGTTCCGTTATCCTTGCGGTTCGGCACGCATGTGAACCTCAGATTAATTCCACAGTTTTACTTTAACCATCAAAGTGTGAAATAAAGTTTTAGTGATAATCGTTATGCGCCAATATTCAGTAAAATATGCAATCAGGACATCTGCATTTATGCTTTTCTAGTCGCGAATCTCTGACAGTGTTGCATTATAAACAACCAATATGTGTTTACATTGACAGGAGATGAGCTAGTAACGATGGCAGCACCGCTAATGGCCTATGAACGAAGGTTCAGTTCAGTTACATTATCAAGCGGAATGACCCATGCTGGGCTCCAAATATGTCAGCATAACCCACTTGAGAATCCCCACCTGTTAACCATTCAAGCGTCTACCATTCTCAATGTTGTCAATTTCGAGACAGTTGGGCATGGCACACAAGCTGAGGGCTGAACATCCTGCAGCTGGCCACCCTTGGGGAGGGTGTATAGTGTTGAACGGCTGAAACACTCAATGACACAAGGGAACATTACTGATGATGTGTTCTGGGCCCAACTGTCCCAAAATTCTACAACCTAAACCAAACCAAGATACACCCAACACAAGCTGGAAAACCCCCAGTTGTCGATCGTCAACCACTCAAAACAAGGTTAATTTCCTGGAAGTGCTCACCACCTTGGCACAAAGGACAAGACAAACATCATGTCCTGTGTTTTTTGATTCTGATGCATTCAGAATCTGTTCAGTGAAAATGAGTATTAGGCAAATGTAAATTATAACGTTATCGTGATATGTTCACTTGTAATCTCATAAAATGTAGTTTTTGTGAGAAACTTGAATAAATAGTTGTTTGAAGGAGATTTTTTCACAAAAACATAAATAGATATTAGAGAGGGAATTACGACCTGTTTACAATACCTCAAGGCAGCAAATGCATCATTAAAACTACTGACAAGATTTTATACAAAATACAATCTTTTTTTCTTTATAATTTGAATTGTGTATTTATGAAGAAAAAAAAGCAATATAGATAACTATAACAAAGTAAAGGGATAACATTTAGAATTGTTGATGGTTGACAGACTTCAGAGTGGTTGAAATGAATTTTGGGACAGTGGCAAAAAAAAAATAGTATGGAGCCTTGTAGACCAGCTGCTATAGTCAAACAACAAAGGGTTCTGTATCCGCCAATATGGATCATGAATTAGTATCGGCGGAAAAAAAATGTGGTCAGGGATCTCTAAAAGTAATATTGGCTCACTTTTATCTTTTGTGCTGATCCGATCCATGATCTGATCCATGAGTTTTATGATCTGTTGCACCGATTTAAACGACTTCCGTTTGGTGTGTAATCAGCTTTCCAAGAAGCTGTCAAGCTGAGACAGCTTCTTGACAATAAAAGAAGCATACATCTCAAGTTTAATGAAGACAAGTGTAAGATTGGAATGACAGACATACAATATATTGAACTATCTGAGTGCAGAAGGCCTGAAGCCAGATAAAGATCAGAGCAATAATGAACATGCCAAAACCACATGGCAGATCTGTACTGATGAAGTTCTAAGGCATGGTGCAGTACCTCTCAAAAGTCAATCCGAACCTGTCTGATGTGAGTCCATCACTCAGAAAGCTTTTGGAGTTTCTGAAGAAACTGGTAAGCAATGCCGCAGTGGTCAAGTTCTATTATGTAAACAAGGAAGTCACATTGTGAGTGGATGCACGCTCTGAAGGAATGGGAGTTGTAATAAGGCAGGATGGACAACCTGTGGCATATTGCTCAAGGTTTCTTAGTGACACACAGAAAAGACATCCACAGATAGAGAAAGAATGGGTTGCTATTGATGTCGCGAAAAGATTACACAAAGCTCCTCTCAGACCATAGAAGATGCTGATGAAATTGCAGCCTTTTGACTTGCGTGTAGCCTACAAACCAGGAAAAGACTTGCACACACTCAGCACAGCTTATCTGCAAGAACAGACAGAACGACTACTAGAGGAGGCATTACAAGTACATTTTCTATCAGCACACCTTCCAATCTCAGAGGAAAAACTGAGTCAGTTTCGTCTGCTGGGCCATGGAGATAGATTAAGTTTCAACTGAATTAAAATCGTACTGGAAGCTCAGAGAGGAACTCTGTTGCTCAGAAGGAATTGTTTTTGAAGAACTCCAGAGTTGTTGATCCTCAAAGACAGAGCAGAAAT